TTATCCTTGAGAATTACCTCGATCAACTTATCGAGTTTTGCCTCAAGTGGAGCACTCGCTCCCACACTTCTTACTCCTCTTTCATTGCTCATTTCCCCACTTCTCGTCAAACCCCAATCAGAACCTTTGAGGCCATATCTTCTAACAATTGGGTCACTTGCGGCTGGTTCATATTCATTAGCCTCTTTTCACAAAGAGAATCAATGAGAATCTTGTCCTCATATATGAGCCCTCCGTAGAAAGTTTCAATCCGGAATTGTTCTACGAACCCATGGTGAGGGCATTGAAGAAAATAATCGGAGAATATTTCCAAAGCATCCCTCAAGGTTTCATCTCCATCTTGCTCTAAATGGGTGATCTTCTTTCTCTACTCAGCCGTCTTCGAAGGAGGGCAATAGTGGGTCATAAATTTGTTGAGAAGATCATCCCACGAGGTAATTGAACAAGGCGGCCGGTTGTTGAGCCATCTAAGTGCCTTCCCCGCAAGTGAGTAAGGGAAAAGCCTTAGCTGCGAAGCTTCCCCCGACACGCCATTAATCTTCAAACTCCCCGCGAGCTCAAGAAATAGTTGCACGTGCTCCCTCGGTGATTCACTTGTGAGCCCATGGAACAAAGCATTGTTCTGAATCATTGTCACGAGGGCCGGCTTAATCTCGAAATTGTTGGCCGTCACGGAAGGGTGTAGGATAGGCGATGTTACATCCCGTCCTTCCCTTAAGTCAAAATGACTATTGTACCCTTGGAAAATTTGTCAAATTCCTCCGTGATCGATGAGGACTAAAAATGTGAACTCTCGATCACGGAGGAAGGCAGGGATGGCGATGGGGTCATCAGGGAGGGGTTGGCCAGCCGGCGAGGGGAAACTTGGTGGTTGGCGACCGGCGTCGGCGAAGAATTGAAGGTTGAAGAGGGAGTTGGTCGTTTGATTTTGGGAATGGAAGAGGATGAATAAGATAGGGTTGGATTCTTGGAGAGATAGAGTCGTCGTTTGGTGAAGGGGTGACTTTTTTTGTGGGGAAACGGGGTCGTTTGGTCAAGGGGGTGGCTGGCCGGTTATTTCCGGTTAGCCGAGTCACCGAGTCTCGGTTACACACTTAGCCGAAAATAGCGCGAACACTACCGACACCCGACCGCAATCATTAACCGTCGATTTCCGGTTAGCTATTAACCGACTGGTTAGCGATTAAACCGGTTGGATAACCGCAAACCGGAAACCAATCTGCCACCCCTGCTCCCAACCTCCCTCCGTCCATATATATATATATTCTCCCTTACTAAGAAAACCACCCCCACCGCCCAGATTTTCTTCCCCGACTCGTCAATTCCATACCTCTCCAAAATTTTGAGAGCCGCAATATCTAGCAACGCCGGGCGTAGTGGAGTGAAGCATTGGCGGGTTGTTGTGAAGGTCATGCAGGGAAATTCTCATCGATGGAAAGCAAGGAGGCGGTGGAGTCGATGTTTGTGGGAGCGGAGGGGTGGACGATGGATATCGGCAGGGTACTTGGAGGAGAGACGTACGAAGCATGTATATATATAATCTTCCTTTGGGTCAGATTAGGAGGAGCCGCCACACAACCGAATGCAGCAATAGACAGAGGGAGAGCGAGCACTGCCAGAATTCTGCTTCCGGTGGCCTCCAAGGAAAGGGGTGTACGATTGTTCTTTCCAAATCGATGTTGCGGAGGCCGATGCGCATGTCGATGTTCCTTCAAGTGGCCTTGTGATTGCAAGATAAAAAAAATTGCCATCATGAGAGTTACTCACGTGGGCAATTAGAATGGACGGAGTGGGGTGGTTTTCACACAAAGTGGAGGTGGATAGGTCACGAAGCAGTGTAATTGGTAAGGGAAATGGCCATAAAGCATTGTAAGCCTGATATACAGGGGTCGTTTGCTTGTTGGATTTGAAAAATGAGGGTTTTGGCCAACAAAAACCTTAGGATTTATTATGATTTATTGGATTATGCATTTGAAGAGTCGATGGTGGCCGCCTCATGGATGGAGCCTACGTGAGTTGATATGCATGGATGATGGATTGGATGATGTGGGTTAGAGTGTGGAAACAAACGAGTAGTGATGTCTCGAGCCAGTCGACTTGAACAGTCAAGTGACTGTAAAGGGGTAAATTCTACGCCTTACGAATTCTTTTAAGTATAATGATTTTAAGTATTTTAGCGAAGTGATTTCCGTTGCTTGATTATGTGTATGGTTGATTATTTGTGCTTTGTTTGAGCTATGTTTTGAGGTGAATGTGTGTTATTTACCTTAAATCTTTACGTTAATTATGAATGATTGTTAAAATTAAGAAACAAGTTCTTTTTAAGAAGTACTTCACCTTCAAGAAGATGAAATCGTTTTAAGAGTTTTTAGTCACTAGCGTCAGTCTGTTGCCATTTGAGATTTTGAGATAAAGCAGCAGTTATGGTCTTGAGACTTTTAAGATGAGTAGTCGTTATGCTCTTGAGAATCGTGGTGAAGAGCCACCACGATAAGTTTAAGATGTTAGGGGGATGAATCGTTACGACTCCCCTAACTAAGTTTAAGTTTAAGGAAAGCATGGATGGCTTCTCATTCGTATGGCAACCAGACTAGCTAGTGAGGGATCCCCGTGTCAGTCAAGTATTTAAGTCAAGATTTGAGATTTAAGATAGGAGAGTAACTTCACCTCCCTCAAAGTTTCAGAGTTAAGTTTTAAAGTGGAAGTACACACAACTTACATAAATTTAAGTAAGTGTTTTAAGAAAAGTGCTCAAGAAGTAGAAAGTTTAAATCGTAAGGGCGTAGACTGACCCCAACTCATTCACCAGTTCGAGGGAAGCCAGCTAGAGGAGAACGATACTAGCGTCTTGAAGGATATCTAGTCGGAGTTTCCAATGAGCAGCAACAGTAGTTGAGACTAGTTAGTTATTACATTTTATGATTATGAGTGTAGACTGGAGATTCGATTTGAGTATTTTATTTTTCAAGGGAATTTTAGTAAAAGTAGTACCCAGCCGGGTTAGGGTGTTACAGGCGATTGAAAGTCCGCCAGCCGTGGGGCCATGTAATACCCCATTGTCCTCGGGGCTTCCTCCCCGGCCGCCTCCTCATTATGATTGTGAGCTTGGGCGGCGGCTCCTCTTTGGTTCTCTGCCATCTCAACTCCAATATCAACTTCTTCTTCAACTCCTTCAACTTCTTCTTCACTAACTCCAGGACACAATGGTTTTCCCCTCTCTTCACTTCTCCTCCTTCCTTCCGCTAACTGTCTCTCCCGAGCTAAGAGCCGGAGAGTTCGGTTGATGTTCTGTTCTCGTCAAGCGGTACTAAGGGTGCCAGATTGCTACGGGTCATGCACCTCCCTGCATACATTTAGAGAACAAAACTACATCTATCACAAGCAAAACACTCAAACAAACAAAGCTAGAAGTAAAAGCTAGATTAACACCAAAGAACTTTTTCAAGATAACGGACCAAAGGTCCTCGGCAACGGAGCGAAAAACTTGACTCGTCCCGAATATCACAATAAATTCCCACCTAAGGCCCAAGTATAAACCTTAGATGGGTGCAATATAGGGCAAGTATGTTTAAATATCAACCCGGGACGACCCGTGTACCTCTGCTTCCGTTGTTTGCAGCATTATCTAGCGAATCGGTTTTTGGTTGAAAACTATGAGATTTAAATCAAAACAAAGAAAAGGTAAATGGTTTGAAAGCTCTAGATGAGAAGGATCACTCGGGTATCGCTTCCCCATAACTACTACCATGGCACGTGGACTCGAATGGGATATTATAGGCAAGGTAATCATGAACTGCTAGGAGGTGCAACTATGGTCGAGGACCACACTCTCAATTGCCAAACCAAGGGATACTTTATAGGCTACAAGAGTAGCGCTCTTGGTTAAGGCAATTAAGGGTTGACTTACCTTCTACCTCAAACCAATGGTTGGACGGCTTAATCATGATTAACCTAGTTTCTTAATTCAAGATAGAGGTTTCCCCTACATTAACCTAGGTAGGTGGCTTGTCAAGCCCAAGGAATCCCAACTCAATTGTGCCTCTTTTGGAAAGGAGGTTTCCCCCTCTAACCTAGGTTAGAATGGCCAATTAGATTGCTAAGCACACACATGCACAATCATAATGAAAAATACCTCAATCATTAAATTAAACAACACCCATAAACAATCATTCAAGTTACCCTACAACTACATGGAATATAGTTCGGGTTTCACAACACCCAAGTGAAAAAGAGTACTACTCCATGCTAGAAAGGGGAAGAACACAAGAGAAGGAGGTAGAAACCATCATGGTGATGCCTCCAATCTTCTTTAAGCTTGTGTTGATCTTCTCTTGGGGAGATTCTTCCCAATTCACCACTTGGAGCAAACCCTAGCCTTCATTCTTCCTTGGTCCATCCTTCCTCTCTCTGAAACCTGAACAAGAAGACACTTTCTCACACTTGAGCCCTACTCTCTCTTCCTTTCAGCTCACAGTTTATACCAGCATCGCACTTTATACTTTTGGGCTTTAGTTCACGGCCATAGGGGACTGTGTACTCCATGCTAACCCGTGAACCTCGTCTGGATCACCCTCTTTGCCCGGTCTTTGCCTCTTTTCGTCCAACTTTCGACTCCGAGGCTGGTTTCACATGTTGAATCCTTAAACACACTAAAACGCACAAAACCTAGCGTAAAACCACCCTTTTAGGAGTTCAAATGCTACAAACGCCCAAGGGAAACGGGGATAAAATGTGTGCAATTAGGCCCGAATCAGTGAGATTGTTATTATGTATGTATTGTTTAGAATGCATCGTTCTTTTTATTTTTTAAGAGAAACGAGTGATTGTTATATCTCAGCTTTTAGCTGAAGTGACATACACAATCACACATACACATACCAAATGTTATATTTTAAAATACATTAAATTCGACAATATATATATAATATTATAAATATATTTACAACAATACATCAATTTAACAATTAGAACTTATAAACTAGAATAAACAAACTTTGTTAGGGGCAGGAAATAAAGCAAAATTGGTGATGAGATTTCACAAAGTGAAGGTACAAAAGAGAGCTCCTACAATGTTTTTTTTGCTGCAGATGTAAGAGGCAGAAAAACAGAGAGTCAGACTAAGAGAGATATAGAAAGAGATTGACTGAGTGAGATGTGGAAATCAAGCCGACTCCCACTGCATATGCTACAACCGTCCCTTCCCTCCCCTCCCCTCCTTACTTGACTCTTCGCTTCTTGTCATTCGTCAGTCGCCATTTTTCCGGTAACCCCGAAACCGAAGAGCTTTAATCCTCAATTTTGCTTTGTTCCCTTCTTTTGGATTTTTACCGTTCAAGTGTGCCGTTTGTTTCCCGAGAAGCTCCGGTGGGGGTGGACTTGTTAGAATCTGGCATCCCAGTTACCAGAATTGTAATTCTCAACCACCAAGTTAATGATCCTGCCGATTGCTTTAAAGTTTTTTTTCCTCTTTGGGATTAAGCTGCTGAGAGTTGGTATCCCTGTTTCTGTTGTATAGGTATTTGAATAGACTCATTGCTGTTTGGTTGCTGGGAAAAATAGAGGGGAAGTGAAATGGAAATTATTGAATTTACCGTTTCTCGGCAGCTATTTTCATCTTGATGTGAGTTGATCATATTTTGAACGAAGAGAGTTAGGTATTGACGTATTGTTAATTAATTTGTTGTTTTGTGTTGGTCGATATTGTCATTTTCTATGTGCTCCCTTTTTCTTTCCTTCTTTTGTTGGATTTTCCTTCAAGAGTCGCTATCACTATATGATTCGTGCAGTAATTTATTCCAGTTAGCGGTCTCAGAATTTGATAGCAGTTAATGTTGATTTCACCACTTACTTAATTAGGGAATTAGAGTTGCTGGGAATATTTCTTGCTGAGTTGTTCCATATCAGCTTCTCCACCCCTTTAAAATAATCAAAATTTAGTCAACTTAGTTCAACAGTGCAAATGAACCTGGCTTTAGGATTGACAAAGTTTTTTTGGGATGCTAGCAGGTCTCTGAAAGTTGTTCAACTTCTGCTCTTTACTGAAAACATGGAGTCTTGGAGTTATGCTTCAGAAGGAAGAGCCCATTTCTTCACTGATGAGGTAGAATTCCCGGTTGACGTGTTCTCGAGTAGTCAAACAGAAGTGGGAGAATGGGACAGGGAATCAATTGATAGCCTGGAATTTGTTGGTACGGGTTTGCATGATGTGCCAATAAGTCCTTCTTATGGAGATAACAAAACCCCTGTTTTGGAGATGTTTGGTGGTAGTGTTCTGGGTTTTGATTCGCATATCTTGGTAGCTTCAAATTCCCATTTAGCACCCAGCAGTCAGGGATCATCATCACTTATTGATTTGAAGCTAGGGAGTTTGGGTGACTGCATAGATGCACAGAACAGTGAGTTTTGCCATAAGAGAGCACTGCTGCATTCTGTGGAACATGCTACTCCAGTGAAGAGAGCTCGAATCATGATTCCATTCTGTCAGGTCTATGGTTGTGACAAGGATCTTAGCTCCTTGAAGGAGTACCACAAGCGGCATAAAGTGTGTGAGCTCCACACTAAGACTCCTAAGGTCATTGTTAATGGGATTGAACAGAGATTTTGCCAGCAGTGCAGCAGGTTGGTTTATGTGTTACATGAATTTCTCGTTTTAGTTTACTCTAAAAATATACTCCACAGCCTATCTTAAACCCTTTGTATTTTGATGAATTTAGGTTCCATTTGCTATGTGAGTTTGATGATGGCAAGCGTAGCTGTCGAAAACGCCTAGCAGGCCACAATCAAAGGAGAAGGAAGCCTCAATTCAGTGGCTTCTCGAACAATGCCTACAAGCTACTGCAACAATATCAAGGTATCAAGAGTAGACTGATGATGTAATGTATACTCCTTAACCACTTAATTTATTTTTCTAAGGCACAGGTGTTGTTTGGCTAGTGTATTATTGAAAGGGGTAGATTGTTAAAAATCAATAGCTTTGAACGTCGATAGATTTTGAAATAGGGTTGATTTTTACTCGGTGATAGTGAAAATCTATTGTTTAATGGACTTGTTTTTTCAAGTGGATTCCGTATTAGATTGCATAAGTTGTCATTAGAACCAAATTAGCATTAATAAATATTCATTCCAGGTTTTTGTATTATCAAACCCTCGTTTTACTTGCATTTCTGTCTAATTATTGTTATTTATTTACCCCTGGTGGAGAGATTTTGAAATACCATCCAGGGTAATTTTTCCAAATCCTCCCATACTTGTATTTGCATAGCTCTTTATTACCACAATCCTACCGACAGTTCAAAACCATCCAATTTCCATTAAATAAAAAGACATCTTAATGATCCAAGGATTTGGAGCAACGTTTATCCAAGACCCAAATCCATCAGCCTAAAGATACCTTACAACTTGGGTGGATGCACACTGAATTTGCTGCTGTTCATCATTTCCTTGCCTTAAGCTTTTTCTGAAAGGGAGTTTCATAGATGTTAAGCATTTTTCCACCTCCACAAACTTATGCTGTTCATAGATTTTTTCAGGCAGTAGATTTATCGACACTCCTCTACCTAAGAGAACTTCATTCCTGTTCCCAGATATGCTCCCAAGTGGTCATCGCTTTCCAGAAGCTAACCGGTACAGTCATGTTTCTTCGTTTGACGAAAAGCCAAGTTTTAATCCTCAGTCAGCATTTCCGATGACTAGTGACCAGTGGCTGGCAAGCCAACCAGATTACTCAGTCTCATCATTCATACACGACGAGCTAGCTGGGGTATCATCCCACTCTAGCCGTGCTCTCTCTCTTCTGTCACACAAAGCACAATACCCTAAGGGCATTTCCTCTAGTCGGTTGGATCACTCCTACCAGAGTTCAGGTATGTGTGGTAAATGTAAGTGCTGCTCGCCTCGAATGGTCTCCACCATCCAAGTCACTACTGATCATGCTGCTACTGATCTTCACATGAAACCAGATGTTTCGAATTCCAAGAACCGTGGTTCTCCAGAGAATGAACATACAGTTGACTTGCTTCAGCTGTCATCACACCTTCAACGTGTGGAACAACAACGGACCATCATACAAATGAAGAACGAGACCGAGGATTTATTTGGTTTCTTCACAACCAATGGCCTAAGTGTATAAATAAAGAAGAACAATCCAGGTGTTGCTGAAGCTCCTTTTCAAGAATCAGCAGTGTAGATAAAATTACAAATGCTTAGGTACTGCTTTTTTCCGTTTTTTTTTTTTTTTTTTTTTTTTTGGTTTCTTGTTGACAAACTGAAATTCTACATGGCAGAAAGAAAACAGATTGTGATGTTTCTTTCTTCTTTATTCAATTTTAGCACAGATTGTGGCTTTGGAATTGCTGTAAGATACTCTTGATATTTGATTCTCTTTTTCAAGCTGTACTTGGAGAACCATGTTCCTAGTTCAGGTTTCCTTTTTCAAGCCTGAACCTTTCAGTCATTGAAGGGGCGTGTTTAGAAGGGACAAGATCAAGTTTGTAAAGGGAAATTAAGGAGTGTGTGAGAGTGAGAGAGCATTTTCCAAGTTTGTAAAGCTATTTCCTTTTTGTATAGAATCTTTTATGTAAGCAGCAGCAGGGTCCTTTCTTTTGCTTCAGTGTTTTCTGTGTAAAGGGTGTCAAGCATGCATTTTCCCCACCATAATAAACTGAACTTTCCCAGGTTCCAGGGATGAGATGAGATGAGATGAGATGAGTGAGTGCATGATTGAACCAAATGCCGAGCTCCAAAAAAGCCTCTTTCTTTTTTTTTGAAGTCAAGCTCCTAAAAAGCTAGTCAATCAATTCAAGGTGAATCTACACACGAAAGGAGTAAAAAAGAAAAAGTGGAAAGAATTGCCACTTTTTCAATCGCTCTGTATGATTCAACTGTCAAGTAATATATTTTTCTTTTTTTAATCTGATTAGACAGATGGACATAATTAATTAATGTTGATATGACTTGAATCGGATTATCAGCTGCTACGACTGGTAATCGGGGGTCTCGCTGTAATGTAATTTGGGTTAGGGTTCTACGGTGTATGGGCTCAATGTAATTTGGATTCGGGTTCTGGGCCTGGTCTGTAACCGTTTCCTTTGCCAGATTGGATTAGGTTTAGACCCACATTGAGAAGTACTATAAATACTTCTCATACTCTGTAATCTGTAATCTCCTTGATATAGTGAAACTGGCTCTCTCTCGCCCGTGGACGTAGCTAACACACATCGTGTTAGTGAACCACGTAAATCGTGTGTCGTGTTTTCGATTCTCGCTTTCGTATTCTTGCTTTGTCGATTCCTGCAATTTTCCGATCCGTAGCAGCGCGTTTATAACAAGTGGTATCAGAGCCGCGGCTGGAAATCAGGCTAGGGTTTTCGATTAAGAAGAATGACGTCGGTGAACATGAAGATCGAAAAGTTCACGGGGAAGAACAGCTTCGCTATATGGCAGATCAAGATGCAGGCTTTATTAAAACAGCAAGGGCTGTGGGGGCCGCTGTCTGCGAAACAGAAGAAGGCAGCGGTCGATGACGATGAGTGGAACACCCTGGAGGAGAAGGCTCACTCGACCATCATGCTATCGTTGTCTGATGACGTCATCATTGAAGTCGCTGCTGAGAAGACTGCCGCGGGCTTGTGGTTAAAGTTGGAGAGTCTGTATATGACGAAGTCCTTAACCAACAAGCTGCATCTCAAGCAACGGTTGTTCAGCTTGAGGATGCAAGAAGGTACGCCTTTGAGGGAACATCTCGAACAGCTTAACTCTATTTTGCTGGATCCGCGTAATATAGATGTTCAAGTTGATGACGAGGATGCTGCCCTAATCCTGCTGGTTTCTTTGCCGAGTTCATATGAGAATTTCGTTGATTCTTTCATTGCTGGTAAAGAAAGCGTGTCGTTGGAGGATGTCAGGTCTGCTCTTCATACGAGAGAGATCAGGCATAAGGCGTCTGGTTCTGGTACAAGTGGTGAGGCATCGGGTTTGGCTGTTACAGGTGGAAAGGGAAAGAAGAAATCTGGTAAAGGGAATTCGAACAAGAATTCCAAGGGTCCCGGTCCACAGCCAGGTGATGCTTGTCACAACTGTAAGGAAGTGGGGCATTGGAAGTACAACTGTCCCAAGAGAAGAGGGCAACAGAAGAAACAAGGTTCAGTTGCCGTGGCAGAAGTGGACAACAGTTCTGAAGACGATCTCGCCTTGGCTGTAGATGAGAAGGCACATCGTGGGGATGTGTGGTTTCTGGATACTGCAGCCTCATACCATATGTCTCCGAACAGGGATTGCTTCACAACCTACGAGCAGATAGATGGTGGTAACGTGGTCATGGCTAATGGAGCTGTCTGCAAGGTTGCTGGAATCGGGTCCATAAAGGTTCGGACACATGATGGTTCGTTCTGTACCGTGAATGATGTCAGGCATGTTCCACGAATGACAAAGAACCTGATCTCCTTGAGTCTACTCGACAGCAAGGGTTTCAGTTTCAAAGGAAAAGGTGGAGTTGTGTATGTCTGCAAAGGTTCAAGGATGGTGCTGAAGGGCGTGAAGCGTGGGACCTTGTATGCATTACAAGGGTCTGTGTTGTCTGGTTCTGCTGCAGTTGCATCGTCTCAGGTTCATTAGGAAGATATGACCACTCTCTGGCACATGAGATTGGGGCATATGAGTGAACGGGGGATGCAAGTTCTGTCGAAGAGGGATCTTCTTTGCGGGCACAAGGTGCAGAATTTGGAATTCTGTGAGCATTGTGTGTTTGGGAAGCTACATCGCAGCAAGTTTCCCAAGAAGGGTATCCACCGGACGAAGGAGATACTGGATTACCTCCACTCATACTGTTGGGGTCCTTCACGAGTTGAATCCATTGGAGCAGCAGGTATTTTCTGTCTATTATTGATGATTATTCGAGATTTACTTGGATTTTCATGATGAAGCAGAAAAGTGAGGCTTTCACGAAGTTCAAGCAGTGAAAGACATTGGTGGAGAATCAGACCGGGAAGAAGATCAAGAAGCTGCGAACGGACAATGGTCTGGAGTTCTGTAATTCTGAGTTCAACGAATTTTGCAAGGATGAAGGGATTGCCCGTCATCGGACTGTGAGAGATACACCCCAACAGAATGGTGTTGCAGAAAGGATGAACCAGACATTGTTGGAGAGAGCACGGTGCATGCTCTCTAATGCTGGACTAGAGAGAAGATTCTGGGCAGAAGCAGTGAACATGGCGTGCTTCCTGATCAACCGTGGACCTCACACAGGTATCGAGTTGAAGACTCCTTATGAGGTGTGGTATGGTAAGCCTGCGGATTACTCTTCACTGAAAGTTTTTGGGTGTCCTGTTTATTATCATGTGGATGAGGGTAAACTGAACCCAAGGGCAAAGAAGGGTGTATTTGTGGGTTACGGAGATGGAGTTAAGGGATTTCGAGTCTGGTCACCTTCTGAGCATCGAGTTATACTCAGTAGAAATGTGATATTTGATGAGAAGTCTATGTTTAACCCCATGTTGAAGGTTACTGTTGTTGAAGGTAGCAGGAATGTTGATAAGCAGGTGGAGCTGCAAACTCTCAATGAGAGTGAGTTTGAGCACCAAGGTGGAGAAGATCAACATGATGAGGATGTCTCTGCAGAGCCAGAAACTTCAGAGTCTAGTGCACGAGCTCAACAGTCTATGGCTTCCTGTAGACCGAAGAGAGCGACTGCAGGAGTACCTCCACAGAGGTATGGTTTCGAGGACATGGTGGTGTATTCATTTCAGGTTGCTGAGGAAGTGGATGCAGGAGAGCCACAGTCCTATAGAAAAGCCGTTTCGGGTGGCGAAGCTGATCAGTGGCTTGGCGCAATGGGAGATGAGATGGAATCCCATGACAGGAATCAGACTTGGGAGCTAGTCAAACGACCACAGGGAAGGAAGATTGTTACAAACAAGTGGATCTACAAGAAGAAGGAAGGAATCACTTCTAAAGAGGGCATGAAATTTAAAGCTCGGGTGGTTGCACGAGGCTTCTCGCAGAGGGAAGGAGTTGACTACAATGAGATTTTCTCACCATTGGTAAGACATACTTCGATCAGAGTGCTACTAGCAATAGTGGCACATTATGACTTGGAGCTCGAGCAGCTAGACGTGAAGACAGCTTTCCTACATGGAGAGTTGGAGGAAGAAATTTACATGACTCAGCCAGAAGGATTCGAGGTTCCTGGAAAAGAAGACTATGTTTGTAAACTGAAGAAGTCCTTGTATGGACTTAAGCAGTCTCCGAGGCAGTGGTACAAAAGATTTGACAGTTACATGCTTGAGCTGGGCTACAGCAGAAGTCCATATGATTGTTGTGTGTATCACAACAAGGTGGAGGATGGTTCGATGATCTATCTTGTTCTGTATGTGGATGATATGCTCATAGCTGCGAGGTCGAAGTCTGATATCCAGAAGTTAAAGGGGCTTCTCAGTGCTGAGTTTGAGATGAAGGATTTGGGAGCTGCTCAGAAGATCTTGGGTATGGAGATTTACAGGGACAGGTCGAAGAAGAAGCTTTTCTTGTCACAGAAGAGCTACATCCAGAAGATACTGTCGAGGTTTGGCATGTCTTCAGCAAAACCCTTAAATACTCCTAGTGCTTCAAATGTTCATCTATCCTCAGCTTATGCACCACAGTCGGAGGCTGAGAAGGAGTACATGTCGAGAGTCCCATATGCTAGTGCAGTAGGTAGCTTGATGTACGCTATGGTATGCACTAGACCTGATCTTGCACATGCTGTTAGTGTTGTCAGCAGGTTTATGATACAACCTGGGAAGGAGCATTGGCAGGCTGTGAAGAGGATCTTCCGGTACCTTAAGGGTACACCTGATGTGGGGATTAGCTTCGGAAGTGATACGGAGTGCTTGTTGTCTGGGTATTCTGACTCGGACTATGCTGGAGATGTTGACACGAGGAGATCGATGACCGGTTATGTATTCACTCTTGGGAGTTCTGTAGTGAGCTGGAAGGCAACTTTGCAGTCGGCAGTGACATTGTCTACTACTGAGGCAGAGTATATGGCGTTGACAGAAGCTGCGAAGGATGGAATATGGTTGAAGGGACTGGTTGGTGATCTGGGTCTACATCATGATCAGGCAGTGGTGTATTGCGACAGTTTGAGTGCAATATGCTTGGCCAAGGATCAAGTCCACCATGAGAGGACTAAGCACATCGACGTGAGGTATCATTTCTTGAGGACAGAGAAGAGGATTAAGGTGAAGAAGGTTGGCACCGCGGATAATCCTGCTGATATGTTCACGAAGCCGGTTCCACATGGCAAGTTCCAACACTGCTTGGACTTGCTGAATGTCTTGAGTGGGTGACTCCGCCCTGCGGGGCATTGATGGCGGGAGAGAGAGATAGAAGGAGCAGAGTACATCAGAGATTTCAGAGGAAGAGGATTCAAGTCAAGGTGGAGATTTGTTGATATGACTTGAACCGGATTATCAGCCGCTACCACTGGTAATCGGGGGTCTCGCTGTAATGTAATTTGGGTTCGGGTTCTACGGTGTATGGGCTCAATGTAATTTGGGTTCGGGTTCTGGGCCTGGTCTGTAACCGTTTCCTTTGCCAGATTGGATTAGGTTTAGACCCACATTGAGAAGTACTATAAATACTTCTCATACTCCTCTGTAATCTGTAATCTCCTTGATATAGTGAAACTGGCTCTCTCT